ATTTGACATTGCTTGTCTCTCTTTTTTGCTATCGCTCTTCTTTAAGCAAATCATTATATTTTAAGAAATACTAAAGTAGTACATTAAATACTTAATTACTTAAAATTAGTAGATCATACCTATATTGTAAAAGATGACCAATACAACATTATTCTACAATATTTTTAACAAAAGCCTACTTTGAAGCAGACCTAATGGAAGGAGCAGCGGTGGTAGTAAGTGTGGGCATGGGAGGACACAAGGAAGATTGGCTCCGAAAGCAGCTGTACCACAGAAAAAGTTGTAGTAGGGCTTCACGGCTTGCAAGAGACCAGACATGCTTGCAAGAGGTGTTGGGTATCCCTGCTGTAGTTGCCCCCCAGAGGCCTGAAAAAAACACCAATTTTTTTTCCAATTGACTTCAGTGGGGTTCAGTGGCATTAATATCTTGAATATTTTGACATGTTTAGCCAAACTGCTCAACACTCATACATTAAACCAACACTTATAATGAGGAAAAACTAACTGAACAGAAAGTACACATCCTTGAGAAGACAACTAAAGACAGGCTACTTTGGAGGGCACTACAAAGACTTGAGGACAACTATTGTGCCTTTAAAGAGGTAGTAAACTGTTGTGTGATGGGTTGGGTTTTTGCTATAATGGGCAAGTATGCACAGCACACTAGTGCTGTGCGATACATCCTTGGTCCCCTACTCTGTCCTCCGCTGTCACCATCTCCACTGCCATTACTTCAGGGTTCCCATGCATCCTCTTCAGCCTTTGGGTGGCCACTGATGATGTCACTTAATGCCAACAGGAGTCATGGCATCCCTGGCATCATGGCCATTCCAGGCATCTTCAAGTGCCATGAACGAGCTCAGTGTGTATACTGCATATCTAAAAATAAATCCTGAAATATTGATCTAAAGATATATCTTTATTGCCTTTGGAGTTCAGAAAGATGTTTCCCAGTTAAAACAAATTGGGCCACACTTTTTTTAGTTTTTGCTTTAATTGTGATGAACTAGAGCAGCTTTTCTTAAGTAGGGTTCCTCCTGAGGCTGCTAGGGGTTGAATTGGTGACTGCCAATGCATGGTGACAGTTTTCCACTTCTATACTGTTAGGGGACACCACAAGTTTCACTATTTTTTTTTATATTTTTACTAAAAATAATGTTGTCATATAGAGCAGGTAATGTAAAAATGTTTATATCCTGGGTGTCAAATACTCTAGCTATGCCATATTCATTATTCTTTTACTTGCAACTTTCTTCAACTTGATCCCGCTAATATACCATGAGCTGTATGGATAATTATTTTTAGCAGGGGTTCTGGAATTCAAGGGTTTCTCTGCGGTAAAATTGTTGAGAAAGGTTGAGCTACAGGATAGAAGCTGTGGGGTGCAAGGTGTTTGGTACATTTAAGTTTGAGATTTTATGCATTTTACTAGTTAGAGGTAATATACACAAATTAATAGTCAAGAATGCATGCATTAATGGTGTAGATAATTCTGGTGACCGTTTTAACACCATTTTATGTCTAGCAAAAGTTAAATGAGCATCAAGGCTTCCTGGAAATTAAGGGGTAGATGCAGAATAACGTGGAGCAGCTGCAGTTGTTGAATGTCTAAATTTGTCTCCTGAGCTTCATACTGTGTGAAGGAGAGAAACAGATGCTCAGGATTATAAGAGAAAAAGGAGTGCAAAAGCCCAGTCAAGTGAATCACTCAAATTACAAGCACATGTGTCTAAGTGTCATGTCCACAATGACTTGTCATGTTCTAAAGGCTGCAGATGAGGCCGTCAAATATAATATCCATATTAAGGAGTAGTTGTAGGTGTCCATAAAATAGATAGCTGTGTTTAGCCAAATCTAAAATGGGATTTCTCAGTAAGGCAAAGAGTAATGTGCAAACAACAGTAACAAATCAAATTACATTTTGTGTGGACTGATTTCAGCCGAATGAAATGTGATTGGGTGCTGTGGGTCACTTCACTTGATTGTTATTTGCACTACTTTCTAAATTAAAGGCTGTGTAAGGCTAGCCAAACTCTGTCCTAATTCTGTTTGGTGAATTAGCTATAAATCCAGCTTCCCATTGACAGTGTTTAACCTCATGCATCATTTGTCATAGGTAGTTGTTGGTTTTCACCAGATTGCTAGGATTACACCTACATTAAATACACTGCAAAATGCTTACTGGAGACAACATTTTAAAATTTAGTGGCTGCGTCAACAATTCTATCTAAAAGATAAATTGTCATAATTGAGATTATGCAATCATAGTTTATCTACAATTAATATAACTGCATAGGCTTGCCTATGAAATATTTATGTATGTCCCATTATTGATCTTCATTCACATAAAGCCTGAAACTTGGCTGTGAGAGTCATGGGTGAGAGGCCATGTGAGGTCTGACCATTGCTGGCCTGCCAGCTGCTTGACTTCATGTAAAAACTGAATGTTTTCAGTCTGAATAATAAGATCCACAACTACTCACTAGAATATCTCTACTTAACACAGGGAGGAGATGGAGAAATAAAAGATGGTGCTCCTGAAGCAGCTCAACCCCAGCAACCAATTCGCCAACCTACCAACTACCGAGGAAGGTATCGCCGGTAAGTATGTCCCATGTGAAATACATTTCCTAGTCATATGAATCTGACAATATAGCGATATTAGTAGTAATTTAAAAGTTAATGTATAGTATATTTCATGTATGCCACATTAGGAGATTACTGGTCATAGATACTTTATTGTATATTTGGAACAGACCCGTGTCTCAACCCAGATCTAGTCTACCTTCTGGAGACAATGAAAATAAGGAAAACCAATTCGAGACAGGGGCTTCAGAGCAACAACAATCGAACCGCCGTGGTTTCCGCAGACCGTACAATTATCGTCGTCGACCTAATCAGGCAAATGCTCCAACACAGGGGGGCAAGGAAACAGCTAAGGTCTGTAAAGTACTTCAAAGTTTTCATCTGCTTATATATTGTAAACATTTACTCAGTGAAAAACTTTTTATTATATTCTTAATTTGGAATACATTAGACTACATACCCATAGACAGTCACTCAGTTGAACGAAAAACCTCCAAACTGGTCTACTGCTGACGTAATTGCCAAAGCTCCAATATATTTATGGTTTTTACAATCTTGTGTCAATGTGCCAGAGGCCACAGAGACTGCCAATTGGCAAGTTTTAGAGTTAATAGTGATAATCATTTGGAAAGATCAGCTTTTTTTTTCTTGATAGGCCAGCTCTGTTTATGTCAATAAAGCTACCGACAGAAGCCGAGAAGTTTAACCCCTTTGTGGACTTTTTTTTTTTTTTTTTTTACATTTTAACATGTAGAATAAAAAGGTGGCATATCAATGTGCATTACTGTTTATCAATCCTATTTTCCCAATATTTCCTAAGGACTACACTCAAATTAATTTGAATGCACACAAACACAATACAATACCCAATTATTTTGTAAAATTAACTAAAGAGAAAAAATATACAACTATGCAAGATTTAAGGGAAGGATAGATTGCACCCTTAAATGTAGTGTGTGGAAGCATGCAAATCATTCATGTATGCCTTGTGATCAATTATGTATTCAGAATTACTGGTTTATAACACAAATACAGCCTAAATATAGAGCCATAGAGCCATCTGGCCATAAAGCCAGCTTGTTAGCCCACATGCAATGTATGAAATCCATGACTTCTACTAGATGGGACTTGAAAAGCAGTCAGTCTGAGGTGGGCCAAAGTCACTTTCAATACAGTTTTATTCCCATTTCTTCTTCAGATTTACTTATTTATCAAATACATTCTATTCTCAGCTCCTATTGTACACCACTGTGATGTCCATGTCCTCAAACAGTTAACTTGGATTGCAACAAATATAAAAAATGGTATACAATATGCATTTTAAAGTGTTCATAAATATTAGATTCCCTTTTTGTAATACTTACAATATAAGAGCGTCTACTTGTCTGTGGCGTACCACTGACAGCTGCTGACAGCTAATTTTTCCGGCCAGTTTACATTTAAAGTGACACTAAACACTAAATACATTCAAGTACCTTAACTATTAACAAAAATGTATCTTATTTGTGTATCACTCGGCTGCAGATCCTCAAATCATCTCTGAATTGGTGCTGACACTGTCCTTCCTTCTAGAGGGTGGCTGCTTTTCTTCCCTATGGTCGCTGTGTGTGTTGTAAAGTAGCCACCACTCCAAGCTCACTCCCGTGATGGACTACAATCTTTATACAAATTAGTAAACTAAACATGAGATTGTAGTACATCACTGGAGCAAAGTTTCATGCTCCCAACTTTGTGGGAACAGTTTGGGGATGGCCCCTTCCTGTTCCAACATGACTGCGCACCAGTGCACAAAGCAAGGTCCATAAGGACATGGATGAGCGAGTTTGGGGTGGAGGAACTTGACTGGCCTGCACAGCCCCTGATCTCAACCCAATAGAACACCTTTGGGATGAATTAGAGCGGAGACTGCGAGTCTGGCCTTCTGGTCCAACATCAGTAACTGACCTCACAAATGTGCTTCTGGAAGAATGGTCAAACATTCCCATAGACACACTCCTAAACCTTGTGGACAGCCTTCGCAGAAGAGTTGAAGCTGTTATAGTGGCAAAGGGTGGGCCAACTCAATATTGAACCCTGCGGACTAATACTGGGGTGCCATTAAATTTAATGTGCATGTAAAGGCAGGCGTCACAATACTTTTGGCAATATAGTGTATCTTAAGCAACGTTACCAGCTTCCTATATGCCCCAATACTGGGCCCTAAAACTCTGGCATTTTCTTGCTAAATCTAATCGTGCCTCCCCTCCCAATTCCCATGCATTCCTGTTGGTCAGTAACACAGCCCCGCATTGTAACGAACCAATAAAAATGTGAGAAGGGGGTCAATGGGCAAGCTCCCACACAACCTGAAAGTGTTAGAGCTTAACAGCCTAGGAGGCATGCAGAAAGCAAATCAAGTTGTTGCAGGTATGGGCAACCACCTACTCTTTATACTGCATGCACCTACATAAATTATAGCCGTAATAGTGAGTCACTTTTCAGAGAGATTCATCAAGGTTCAGACAACAGTCTTGCATTATGGTACAGCTCTGATTTTTTTCATGCTTAATATCTACACATTAGAATGCTTATTTAATAATGCTCAATATTTAATAATGCTCAAAACAACGTATAACGTGCAGAAGCCCATTGCTGACTACTCTGAAAGCAAAAATTAGATTCAATACTGTGAGTTACTATGGTGCGCACATTATCTTGGATCTTTAAACTGACTTATTACATAACCCTGCATGTGCAAATATTTTAAAACCCATAATCCTGAGTAAATTAACGCTGAAATCCAGGATAAGCAAATATTGTCTAAATACATGAGACTTATGAATTCTTACTTGAATCTTGCAGTGCTTTGTGTATTTCTTCCATATCTGTGCAGTAATTTAGTGTGAAACTTTTCCTCTGTGCAGGAGCTTCCTGTAATGAAGACCAGTCACTGCTGTTCTCTCTCCTTGTACAGGGTGTCTGGTCTTGTATCCGCCCCCTCTGTAGTTTTCTACAGGCACCCTGTAGTGGTTGGGGCCTGTTGGGTCCCTCCCACAGCTCTGATCTCTGCACAGGCTTTGTGCAGCACTGTAATTATGTCACTACTACGTTTACAAGTTAATTAAGGCATTTGGTGCACACAAAGTGGATTTATATCCTTTGTGGCTATTGAGGAATATATTGAAATCAATGTTTTTGTGCCCAGAACTCAGTTTCAAAGCAGAATTGTCTCCACCAATGTACTCATAATGATGGCAGAATGAGAGGTTAAAGATACGTATAAAAAATGCCTTACTAGAGTTAATTATTTCTCAATTTAAGCCTCACTATGAGCACCTGTTATGTTGCGAACGTTGTTACCTTGTTACCATGGAAATTAATGAGGTGCTCAATGGCAACGTTACTATAACACTGTTTTCTGTTTCCTATGTAGCAGGCTGAAGGCACAGCAGAGAAGCCTGTGCCAGTGGTTGAGAAAAGCAATGCTGTGTAATCTGAGTGGCTCCATCGGCCATCATGTAAGTGAGAAGGTCAGTTACAGTTACAATGTGCAGTTGCTTCTGTGCCTCCAGCCAAATTATGCCAGTACTTAGATGATATATCTAATTTCATTAAACATGAAGACCAGACTGTCATTTTATTCTTAATCACCTACACATATGTATAGTCACTACAAGCTAAAATTCACACCAGAGGTATAAAGATAAACTGTGCTATCTAAGGGGAAATACATCAAAAACTGATATTACAGCTGCCAGTAGATGTTGATGGGATTTATCAGCCACCAATTTCTTATATCTTTCTTTCCAGGCAGTTTCTGAAATGTAAAATTAGTGCAAACAAAAGTGAGAATCCCTAATAATTTATGCAGCAGGCAGGTAGCTTTTGGAACTTAGATGTACAAATATTTATGATATAGTCCCTTAGGCTAGATTCACACTTTTGCGCTGCAGCAATGCTCATGATATCGCACACATTACCAGTAACCACAACACATTTTGTTTCCTCCTAGGCTAAATGTCTTGTGCTGCCCCTCTCCTAAACAAATAATAAAGCTAGCCTACAAGATCAAATGTCATACTTTCACATGGTATGCTGAGGCTATGGGGCGCTATGGGGTGGACATTGCCATTGCTACATCTGTATACATAAAACTGATGACTAAAAGGTTAGGACAATCAGTACACACTACTCTGATAGCAGTTCTAGGTGTACAAGTCCAGAATAATGAACTGTGAGGACACTTATTCATCCAACAAAATTTCACAAACTGTGCAGGGAAAACAACAATTAGGACCCAGCCTTGCAGGCACTTTCAGGCATGATGGTGGTCTGGAACTTTGTATTATACACAGCAATGTTAGTGACAGTCAGCAACATGGCGTGTGAGTAGTTCTGTGCCACATCTTAATGCCAGCAGCAGTGGGCGGGTGCAATAGCCAGACTGCTATTGTCTATTGCAAATTGAAATGGCCAGTAGCAGCCTAGCTATTCATTCTTCTGCTGTTTTTTTTACTCTGATGGCAGACGGTGGCCCTGCTGTCAAAAAAGAAAAAACAGATAGCAGGGGATCCCAGAAAGGTTTACCGAGTAAACCTTTCTGGCATAAAATGTTTCTCTCCCAGGCCTCAGGGAGCTGCTATCTTATAGCGGGAGACTCCCGGAAAGTCGGGAGAGTTAAGATGTCCTCATTTATCTCCCCACCCCCTGCTCTCCTGGAGAGACATCTCTCAGTCCCTGCCAGTTTAATCCAAAATAGAAAAGAGATAGTAAAATGTATTGAATGCTTAGATGTTGGGCTATATTTAAAAATAAAAAATTTGAATGTGACATATTGAAAATTCTTTTCTCAGTGATAGCACTTAGATTGTGCCTGCAAGATGCCTGCATGCACACAGCTTACCAATAACTGTTCTGTGTATGTGTTGAAACCGATTCCCTGAAATTTTAGGTCTGGTAGATTTTTTTTATCTATACGAGAAACATTTGTGGACACCATATTTGTTGGGATTCTTGTTTCATCTCATTAGGCTTCTACTTCTTTGGCAGGTTATGAGCGGAGGAAATGCGAATAATCAATGTGGCCTCTGACTAATTCTGAAAACTCTGCAATCATCTGACACTTAGGAGAGAGACGGATTGCATCTTTGCTGCTCAGCTTGCCTGCTGCGGATTTCTACACTGCAAACTTTGTACTCTATGGTACCACCAGTGGAATCAATTACTTGCCATGACAACCAGAAAACAACTGCAGACATGTGGACTATGAGCAGACCAGATACTGAAAGCTGTCTGTTATTACACACTTACAACTGAACTCTTTTCAGGTTAATAATCCCTAATACAGACATCTTTTTCTTGGAAATGATATACAAGACATAAGAAGTCACTTTATCAATATAGTACAGTTGCTGCAGCAAATTTAAATCTTGCTTAAAGCAAAGAGTGTTTTAATGCGACACCGTTTAAAAAAAAAAAAGTGAAAAGAATCTCTCCTCTCCTAGCCATTGCACATCTGATGATATCATAGGCCATAAACTGACCTTGGTTCACAGATACATTGCTGGCTCGTTTGTTTTATGCACAAGTCAAACACAACCCCTGGATGCCTTTGCATTAAAACCAATGGATTGGGAACAGAAAAATCTGCTCATGTTTTATTTCCTCATGATAATGTATATGTGAATGACTTCTTTAGCGAGTTGTTGAAATGCTTTTATATATTCATGCTCTGAAGTTTTTCATTCATAGAATCCTGAATAGGTGTCAGAAAATTCCAGCGCCTTCAAAAAAGCAACTTTAGCCAACAAATCATCAAGTAAATATTAGGGATGCACCAATACTGATACTAGTATCGGTATTGGTGCCGATACAGAGTATTTGAGCGAGTACTCATGCTCGCCCAAATGCTTCGATGCCTAGCACGATATTTCCGGTATCAGGAAGCCGGGCAGCGCATCATTACACATTGCCCGGCTTCCTGATTGGCCGGGAAGCTGGCTCCATGCTCTCTCGTCACAAGTGATGAGAGAGCATGGAGCCGACTTCCCGGCCAATCAGGAAGCAGGGCAGCATGTAATGATGCGCTGCCCGGCTTCCTGATTGGTTGGGAAGCTGGCCAATCAGGAGGCCGGGTGCCGTGTAATGACGCGACACCAGCTTTCTGATTGTCCGGGAAGCAGGCTTCATGCTCCCTCGTCACCTCATGACAATCAGAAAGCTGGTGTCGCGTCATTACACGGTGCCGGCTTCCTGATTGGCCAGAAAGCCGGCTCCATGCTTTCTTGCCACCTAGTGACAAGAAGCATGGGGACAGCTTTCCTGCTAATCGAGAAGCTGGGTGGCGGGTCTTTACACGCCGCCTGGCTTCCTGGCTAATCAGGAAGCCAGACGGCGAGTCATTACTCGTACTCGATTCCGAAATACCAGTATTGGTGCATTCCTAATAAATACATACAACTAATAATATTCAAAAAATACTTGCAGGAATGCTAAATTGAAAAATCTATTAAATCTATTACATTTACTATTACCAAAATTTAGTAAAGTCCAGAGCAGCCACATTTGCACAGGGCTTTTTTTACAATGCCTGCCAGCTCCTGTTTTGTGATTTTGATAATGTATAAGCGAGAAGTGACTTCCAAAAAAGGTTCTGATCCTTTGGTCCTCAGAAACAGAATGGTGCTGGAATCAGTGACCACATTGGCATGCATTTATACAGGTTCATTATCAGGGATATTTAGGCTAAAGCTACAAGGGTGATTAAATCTCATGTTACAGAGAGATTTGACCACTTGTTGGCAGTCATTTCATTCGGTTAGAGCTACATTGGATATTCTTTCTAGCTTGGTGATACTACTAAATCAATAACAATTGATAGCTAAACAGAGGGAACAAATGGCTCCCTATGGAGTAAGCTAAACAAATAGCATGCAGTAGCATCATGTTGCAATCAACCACACATGGCTTTGTGTGTTGTGTGATCATGCAAGCATGATCACTTCTACATGCTACTTGTGTCACTTTCTCCATAGGGAGCCATTTGTTTATTGATCTATTACTACTCCTAGGAAATAATTGCTGGTGATTCTTTAGTAGCATGATTTAAAGACTAAGTGCATCTTCATACAAAGTGCACTTTTTCTATTTGCCTCAACCCCCTGACCTAACAGATACCACACACCTCTTCTGCAGGTCAATACTTACCAAAATCCGGTACCTGGGGCCTTCTGTGTTTGTATACATCAGGCAATGCCATAGAAGTCTGTAGGGCTTGTCTCCCTGCTTTAAATCTGAGGTAAGAATAAGCAAGTGCTTAAATGTCCCAGTGACAAGAAAATAAAATTATACTGCATCTTAACCCTTTAATGAGGATGCCATTGGATACCACATGGGTTTGGTTAGATAGATCAAATAGACATCAGGTAGATTATGTTCACTTACTGAAGTGTAAAATGTTGATGTTGGCAAGAATGTACTTGTAAACTTTATATACTCTCCACCTGCAATGTGATATGCCACAAAGCACTTCTCATTCATCCCAAAACAAAGATCAGTTAGAAGGGTACACTGTGAAATTTCACCTAACAGTACAAAATGCATTAATAAGTCCATGAGGAGGTCTTGGTTGCAGAATGCTATGCAGCCTTATCTTTTGATATACATGATTAAAAACAAGCTACTGGCTTATAACGAAATATATAACTAAAATACATATATGTTCACCGTCTTAGGTGTCACACATTTGTAATTCTTTGTAGCCAGTCTTATGAGCCAGGTGCCCTTCCTAGACAGCATAATCTGGTTCATGAACTTACTTTTTCTACTTCAGTTAGACATTGCATCTTGGTCACTGACCCTTCTCAAACCTGTTGATTGAACAATGAAGTAATATCCCTCAAAGCATTAGACTAAAATGCTTAGAATATAGCTGAAATACATATATGTTCACTGTCTTAGATGGCACACATTTGTAATTCTTTTTAGCCAGTCTTATGAGCCAGGTGCCCCTCCTACACAGCATAATCTGGTTCATGAACTTACTTTTTCCACTGCAGTTAGCAATTGCATCTTGGTCACTGACCCTTCTCAAACCTGTTGATTGAACAATTAAGTAATATCCCTCCCAGCATTAGACTAAAAGCTCTGATTAATACAATAGAACCTAAAAGTGGAGTACTGGGAACCTTTGACCTAAGGGGGCAAATACAACAAAGGGGCCCTTTTATACATATCCGTGATCAAATGATCATTTTACCAAACCCAGGTATGCAAGCCCTTGGGAAAGGGAGGTTTTAAGAAGACATAGCTCTCATTGAAAACTTAGTAAAATATTAAAAGTAATTTTTAATTAGATTCTCAGAAAATGTTGTTACAATGTTAACATATACAATTGATGCTGTGTCCATATACCATACAATACAGATGACGTTGCAGTAGTCTGGTTGTTGGTTGTAGATTTATCAGAAGGTGATAGTTCCTTTTAGGTGCCTCAACATGTTTCGCCACATTGGCAGCTTCCTCAAGAAGACTTTAATCCTAAAAAAACTATTTAACATATTCCGAGCATTAGTCTCCAAAGTATGATAAACATCGAACATGGACACTATAAATTAGAATAGCAATAACATAGATAATAATAATAAAAGAGCAGACCACAGAGCAGAGTGAGCCGGACAACATCGGAGACCAAGCAAGACACTGGGATGCGGAGACCGCAGAGGGAAGATGAAGAACAAGGGGAGGAGGAGGACCCACCAAGTCCAAACCACCACATATGCAAGACTAGAGAGAAAGGAAAATATAGGTATGTATGCACATGAATAATTATGTATATATAAGATATATCTAAAAAATTTGAGTGAAAATAATAAACAAGTAATCATCCAGGTGGATAAAATAAAAAAGAAAATAAATAAATGTTATGTAGGCAAATGTAGGTATTGTTATTATTCATAGCCTTACATGACACGAATTACCAATAATACCTATAATAACATGAATATGTCCTACTAGGGGACAGTGAATAGTTAATATAGTGTATGTGTAGAGGTTATAAAGACTAGATAATTATTATCAATATGAGTGAAAACAAAACTATTTATTGGTATAAAAGTGTATTCCTCTAAAGGAATTAGATTTAAATATTATTATAATAGATAAATAAGTGTAGGTAAAAAGTGCAATGTTCACACGTATAAATCTATCCTGCATCTAATTTAAAAATATACATAAATGAATAAAAGAGAGAGATTCACATATTATGGGAATCTTTCAAACTGGTATTTATATTGAGGAGTGTTAGATAAGTGAATAAGTGAAAATACATAAAACAACTCTACATGTGAGCACTAAAAGACAAAAATTGAAAAAAAAAGAGCAAAAAGTGGCCCTTTTAGGATAAGTACAAATTCACATATTCCAACATCAGCTTCCGTTGCAGCTCTTGGAATTTGGTCACATGACATCTTTAAGCCACAAAATTAGTCAGTGCTGGAAGATTTCCTTCTGCCAGATGGTGTGATCACATCCGACGGGAAGGAGTTAGCTATATATTGTATAATATGTGTCAATGACCACGGTTCCCGCTCTGATCGATGGCTGAATAGAGAAGTATCTCCACCCAGGACTAGGGATAAGCTTCATGTTTTTGGGAGCTTTTTACAGGAAGATAAATATACTATAATTCAGATTTTTTAATTAAAAGCTTTTTAATTAAAAGCTGGCTAGCATGGGTCCTGTTGACAAAGAGGCCCAGTCAC